GACCAGACACCCAGTCCGCCAATAGTGAGAAGTTTGAACACAGCGAGAGGCCAGTGATGCGCGTAGAACTGGTCGACGCCGAGAATTCCAAAGAGGAGGGAGAGAATCATGGCGGTGCGTTCTTGGCGGTAGCATTTCTGGGAGAGGGGACGTTCATCGAAACCACCCCAGCTTCGGGTTTGGAGGTAGGGTTGTTGTTCTGGGGGTGTTAGTGAGTGACGATGGAAAGGAAAGGGACAGAGGGGAAAGGAGACGAACTGTCGTGAAAGTAGAGAAGAGCACTTCCGATTGAGATGATGAAGATGTAGCTCAGCATGATGACCTTCCACTTGCGAGTTACGAAGTAGATGCCGTTGGTGAGCCCGCGGCCGAGTTTGTCGGCGATGGTGAGTTTTGCGTCCATGGTTAAAGTCGTAAGTTGAGATATCCTGGTTGAGCAGAGACGGGGGTACGATGTGGTATTTATGAATGATGAAAGAGGCAGATTAAAAGTCTTTGAGGCATAGGGAAAGGAGATGGAGGTGACGGGTCATCATCGTCTTTGTTGCATTTGGCACGAGTGGCTTGGCGCTGAGGGCAGAGATGACAGTGAATATGATGGAATGTGCTGTTTGTTTGTTAGTACATATGTTTGACATAAAATTGAGTGTCCGTGAGTCAACCAATGTAGTCAAACAAAGAATGCGGATCATGAAAATAAGCTTGAACTGTAGTGAGACCAAACCGTGGATGTGGCGTTACACTCAAACGGTTGTTAATGGACAAGCACTAGATTAGATGTCATGACTGCATAAAACTACATTCACGCATGTTTGATAGTGCTCATGAGACATCTAGACAATATTTGTGAAAGAGACATATGTTGTATTAAAAGCAGATAAACTTAAATCTCATAGATAACCAACCACTTCTCGTCAAAGACCTCTTACAGAGCAGCGACGACAACACCGGCAACAGCAGCAGCGGCGTAGATGAAACCACCCTCACGAGCAGCGCCGTTGGTCTCAACAGCAGCAGCAGAAGAGGTAGGAGTAGAAGCCTCACCCGCAGCAGAAGTCTCCTCACCCGCAGCAGCAGTAGTCTTGTCACCAGAAGAAGCAGAAGTCTTCTCAGGCTTCTCAGCAGTAGTGGTAGCATCCTCAGAACCACTACCCTTTCCGCCAAGAGCAGCAGTAGCGCAGACAGGAACGGCGGTGGCGTACTGGCTCAGCTCAGGGCACTCGGACAGCGCAGACTTGATCTCGTCCTCGTTCTTGCTGTACCAGCTGAGGATCTGGGAGCTGTAGCTGGCGTAGTCCTTGGAGAGGGAGGCCGGGGTGCTGAAGGAGCAGGGGTCGGTCTGGGGGTTCTCTGTGATGTCGGAGACGATGGCCGGAGGAGGCGTGGGCAGCGTCTTGTAGACGTCGAGAATGGCGGTCTGGCACTCTTCTGTGATGCCGCCGACGGCTGGGGCGGTTGCGCGGGGAGCGAGGAGATCGCGCTTCATGAGGGGGTGGGCCATGAAGTTGGCGCTCACGGCCGTGGCGAGGAGGGAGGTGAGGATGATGGACTGCATTTTGAGATGAGGTATCTGAGATAGATTGAAGATAGACTTGAGACAGAGAGTGTGGTTGTGAAGAAGAGAGAGACAGCAGAACAAGAGGATCAAGCCATCCTTTAATAGTGTATATTCCCCATTAAACGCCCTCTCTAGCACCAGAACTAGTCTCACTTCATTTCCACCCACCGCCTGAAGGATTCACCACGTCTCGCCAATGTGATATTAGTTATGGTCCCATGTGCCGTGATCCAGTCACGAATCAGCCCTACAGCACATTCAGGGGTAACGAAATGTTTATGGCGTCCCATCAAAAGCCTGAGCTGAAAGAATAGCGTACCTACTGACCAATCAGAGTCACCCAAGCTTGGGGCTGAAGTCTTGGCGTGCGTTTTGGTGCGGAGAGTGTTTTTGAGTCTGAGCGTCGATTGCCGTGGAATGTAGTATTCGTATTGAGTGAGAGAGATGCTGTATTGGGTTAAACTCTGGATACGAGATTGAGAGAGAGTTGAGATAGGTAAGGGATTAGTTGCGGACAGGGAGAGTATGCCTTGTCAAAAGACCAATGTTGACAAGATGCCGCTAGATTAAGGTTCACCCTCGTGGCTTGCATGGCTTGCCCCTGAAATTAACACGACTAAATTAATCACAACGCTCTGAGCATTAACATTAGCCAAGAATCGGCACAATTCATTCCGAGCATTTGCCATCGCTTCTGATGTCAGTACCGTAGATCAATGGGGGTCGGGGCTTTGCTCGGGAATAATATTACATCATCCTCCTCCTCCACTCTCCAACACATTAGTCTAGCACTCTGTATATACCCAATTAATTTATACACAGTAGACACACTAATTGCACGTCCCAAAATCACTCTGACAGCCCGTCCCACAATGATCACTCGTACTCCCACACCATCCCGCCCTCGAACAACATCCCCATCCACTCTCCGTACACCTCGCGCCCCCATGCGCAGCTCCACATCTCCCCGGCGCCGCAGGCTCCGGCGTGTCGCTGCACGTCCCGAACACAGGCTGACATCCTCTCCCGCAGTGATCGCTCGTCCCGCCGCACCAGCCGTTCTGCGAACAGCATGTCTCGCCGTTGGGCTCCCCGCGACATGTTGCGCCGCCGTGTCGTGAGCCGCAGCGGCCGTTTGTAGTAGCGGGGAATGTGGGTGATGATGAGGATGTTGATGTGGGCGAGGGAGAAGACGAAACGGTGCGATACCAGTTTGAGGGGGCGTCTTGGAGACATTGGCCTACTGTTACGGCGGTGAAGTTGTTGCGCCTGATGGAGCGGAGCATGTATTCTGTTAGGTTGTAGACTGTTTGATAGACAGGGTCGTGCTCGATGTGAAGCCATTTGTTGGTAGCTGGACTTCTACCCTCGACGGTGTTATCCCAGATTTGCTTGGATGTGCTGATCATGTTTGGACTATCGTGTAGATATCCTTCGGTATCCAGATTAAAGTACGTGATATGGTACCCGAGCTCATTCAGCCATGCATCTGTAGTGGTGTTGCTGGCAGAGTACGGAGGACGCATGTAGGTTGGGAAATAGCCGAGAATATCAGCAAAGGCAATCTCGTTGTAAATCATCTGGTTCCAGAATTTAGAGCGGCTCAACGTTGTGAGGCGTTGATGGGACCATGTGTGACTGGCGATCTGATGGCCGTCCCGAATCATGCGCCGAATGAGACCTGGCCATGGTGTATCGGGATCATTGATAGCGCCTTTTCCAAGGTTGCGACCGGTGATGTAGAACGTCGCTTTAGCATTATACCGCTGTAATTGTTAGAGAGATAAGAAGAAGTGAGGAGGTGTCATACCTGGAGTAGGTCGAGAAGGTCTTCGGTGTAAGTATACGGTCCATCATCGTACGTCAACGCAATGTCACCGTTGCGGTTACACCGATAAATAGCCTGGCCATACGGAATACTCCCAGCTTTCGGACGAGCTACATTTGTTGTATCAGGGCCACTTGGACGAACGTTTGCGTCACAGCCAGGACCATACTCGATCTGACACGAGGGAGCAGAGCAGTAAAGATAACCAGTTCCGCACCATCTTTGAAGGTCAGTACGTAATTGGAAGGGGAGTAAGTGGCCTACCCAGCGCTGGAACAGCATTCATTTTGTCCGCAGACTGTTCCGAAACCAGTCCCGCACCGTCCAGCTTGTCGTTTGTCAAGAGCGCGACTGAAGAGCGATGGCCATGGAGATGCAATGGCGAAAGTTGCCAGAAAGGCGACGAGGAGAGCGAATGACTTCATAATGGGGGTCTGAACGAATGACTGTAACGAATGGATGCCTTCTGGCCACTTGATGATCCAACACGGAACGACAAAGACATATCTTATATACCCATTTTACCTGTATCATGCTCAAACAATGACTTCTCGAGGTCCCATTGCAGCAAAGTTGAGGCGTGAGCCATTTTAACTTTTGGGGAGCACAGCATAAAACAGCACTCTTCACAGATTAAGAGCGGCTGACGAGACCAATATATTGCCAGATATTTTGAGGCCCGTCAATATCGCAAGCCACAGAGAAAGGATCATCCTGGAATCAGCTTTAAATAGCCAAGAATGTGAAGTGACAGATGGAAATCTCGTACTCTTAGATGAGAACCTTATCAACACGTGTCACAATGGCTTACGAACCACATGCTGTGCGAGAAACGGTATCTTCGGAGGTTTTTTTTGGGTATGCAGAGAATACGAGGACGCCCGTTGAGGAAGAGAATGGATTGGCTGGGGCTAGAGGAGATATCTTGATGACATGTAGACGACAATGAGGCGATAAAGATGAGCTAGACTTGAATCAAAGCTCCGTGGTTGAGGGTATAGACGGGATGATTTGGCATTTTCGTGGGTTGGACGAGGATAAACTTGTTCCTTGCAGTGTGATGAGGTGAGGTTTCTTGCAGCGGGACGACATTCTTGGGGGTGATGATTGGTGACTGATGACGAGATGCAGGTACCTGTTGGATATCACAAGATTATGAGTTCTTGGCTCTTTTTCAGCTTAGAAAAGATTGATAGGCATTGCTAGCACTGCCAAATGAACCGAGTGTAGCATGCATCGACTGCAAGGCGATTGACTGGGTTGACCTTGTTTCTGTCAATGTCAAGTGCAGCTTCGGCCGCTTCAATCAGAAGAGTAGAGGAACCTGGCTTGTGTCCAAGCTGATGATGTCTGGGCTTCGAGATGGACGTAATCTTGGGCGGGCCTTATTGTGCATGACAATTGACGAATTCATGCAATAATGCCCAGGCCGACCTCAATTGGGCCTACAAACGATGTGAGAAGACAATTGACCTCACAGAGCATCAAATAAACTTTCAACGGTTGAACAATTCACGGCATGTTCAGAGAACTAGAATTTAAACAAATAGCGCTAGGCTAGATCAATTACCATATTACGACATTACATACAACTTTTAAATACTTTTGACTTTTCTAAGCAGACGCCGAAGAACGCTCAGCAGCCGCACCGGGCTTCTCATCCTCAACCAAGTTCTGCTGATCGGTGAGCTTGGGGTTACGCAAGCACAGCGAGAACGCGATAAGAGGAACACAAAGACAGATACCAGTGATGGTAAGCAGGCGCTGGACGTGCTTGTACGCATCAATCATGGCATCACGCTCATCAGAACCAACAGGGAAGTCGAGAATGGCAGACAGAGGCTGAGAGTAGGCGTACACAGCCAGAGTCTCGTTTCCGAAGCTGGAGAAGCTCTGGGCAAGTCGCACAGGGAGAACCTGCGTCCAGATGGCACCGGAGACGGCATTTCCAAAGGCCGAGCCGACCTGGTACAGCGCGAGGTACAGACCCGTCATGACGGCGAGTCGCTCGTGGGTAACGTAGGCTTGGAGCGAGGCCTGCGCGGGGTACGGGAACATACCACCCGCGATACCGAGGAGGATCTGTGCGCCAATGACGCCGGATTTGTTGTCGGAGCTGGGGTCGCCACGGTATCGGATGAGGAGACCGAATGCGACGAGGAAGAGACATGTTCCTGATACGATGAAGACCTTGAAGCGGCGCACCTTGTACACGATAAGGCCGAGAATTGTGCCGGTGATGACACTTGCGAAGGAGTAGAGCGATTGAACCCGTGTAGCGGCCTTGATGCTAAAGTTGAAGGAGACCTGGAGAACGGTGTAGAGATAGTCGCCCTGCATTGTCCAGGCAAAGTTGAGCATGCAAGCAATTCCCATGGGGGCCCAGACGGAGCGATCCTTCATGTGGTGGAAGGGAACCAGGGGGTGAGGAGCGCGGAGTTCCCACACGACAAAGACGGGAATGCAGACGAAGCCGATGACGAGGGGGGCTACGACCTGAGGGTCTGACCACTTGCTCTCGAATCCTCCTGCGATGGTGAGAGGGACGAGGAGCAGGGCGAAGACGGCGATGAGGAGGATTACGCCGATGATATCGAGAAGCCAAAAGAGCTCGACGGTCAGTTTGTTGAAGCCGAGCTGTTGGAATGAAGAGCGGTAGCCAACGAGATGGCCGGCCTTCTTGGCGCGGTGTCCAACGACGAGAAGACTGATGATGAGAGGGAGCGCGCAGACGGGGTAGATGATGCACCACATGCCGATTCCCCATCGCCAAGTCGTAGCTCCAAGGACAGCTTCTGTGACATCGCCGCTGACCCAGGTGTTGATGATGAACGGCAGAGCGGGGATGTAACTAAAGAACAAACGCGATCGCACAGACGTGATATCTCCAATGATGACCTCCACAAGCAAAAGAATCATGGTATATCCAATCTGGTAAATAACCGCACCAGCAGAGTACGTATCCAGATTCTGTGCCGCAGCCTCAATGACAGTTCCAATGGTGTAAAAGAACACAGAGATACAGATAAGTTCCACACGACCAAACACATCAGCGATCTTTCCCGCAGTGGGCTGCGCAGCTGCTGCGATGACGGCGCGGAGGGTATTGACGGAGGACTGGAGCGAGTGTTCCTGGAAGCTGTTGAGCGCGGAGGGCTGGTAGGCGTAGCGCACGGTGCCGTCGAGGCCGTAGGCGTAGGCGATTAGGAAGACGCCGAAGAAGATGAAGATGCGGTCGGTGAGGGTGATCACTTCGGACATGGCCTTGATGCGCTGCACACCGGGGGATGTGATGTCCCTGACGGCGTCGGCGGCTGAAGGGGGGACTTCATGGCCGTGGTCGTTGTCGGAGGATTTCTCTGGGGAGGACATTATGAATAGTGAACCTCAAGAGGAGTTCATGCACTGAGAGAAGGGTTCATGCAAACAGAGAGCATGGTGGAGGAGGTACGGGGGGAGGATGGAAGGTTTATAGGTTGGGAGGGTAGATCCACTCGAGATTGATTAGATAACTTTAACGTGCCGAGTGAAGAACTTTTCGGAGGATCTGATAGGGAGTGGAGGGGGGCGTCATGCGAGTTTGGGAGACCACTGATGCGCTATATTAGTGTCGTCCGTAGCGTGCAGCGACGGGGATTTTTGGTGATGATGAAGGTGGCGGATGATGTCTACTGAACTGTACTCAATTATACGTTACTGTCTGCGTTACTGTACTCGAAGCATCGTGGAGTACAACCCGTGAAGCGACTTTCTGATCTTCATCCCAATAAACTTTCGTATCACAGAGTTTCACTGATTAGCGACTGTCTTCACTCTTGGCGTTAGTCAAGTCAGCCCAGGGCAACGCAAACCCACTGATCCACAGACTTATTTCCCTTCTGTCAAATACTAGGACAGGGATGTCTTAAACAGTTGCCTGCGGTTTCGCCGATGCAATCCCACAAATGGAAGGGATCGTCTTTCCCTCGGCGCTGTCCGCAAAAATGCAACGTTCCACAAAATCCTCTGGTTGGAAAAATCTGATAGTACCCGGATGACGCGGATATAGACTGCTTTGGGTTAAGGGACTGATTGATAACATGCCACCTGAGAATCCGTCTCTTGGCTGGCACTTTGAGGGTCCAATTGCAACAAGCTCTGCGTAAACCTAAGCTTCTTGGTTGACGGATGAGTTCCTCTTTGGGGGTTGTCATTCCACATCCTCGGGTCCCGAATTTTCTTGGCGGATATAAAAATTTGGTGGAATATCCACTGAGCACGGTCTAGAAGGGATCTAGGGGACGGGGTATCGGATATTAGACATGCGACTTTGTGTCAAAATGCCGCGGGATGCAGGTAAATCGCCGGCCGAGGATATGTCGGCGAAGTAAGATGTTCGTGGGGTGAAGAGATAATGTGTCAGTGAACATGGGATCGATCTGATAACGTCTCATTGTGATTGTCGTGGGCATTGAGTGTGCATCAACCCACTTGGTCGTCGATCTCAGCTGCATCACATCACATCCACTGCAGCTGTTGCTCTGATCCTTCGATTTGTTGTTCTTGCGACATCGGACGATGTCGGTTCCTCGGTTGGACTAAGCCTGGACGTTGGGTACTTTGTTTCTTGGCATGGCATTGAGTTTTTTTCACTCAAGCCACTAGACACAGTCTCAGGTAGAGCATTCCAGTGTCGTCTTAGCGTCGGGTCATTGTCTAATCTTATCTAATCCATCAATCATGTTCGCCGATCGGTAGAGAGTTTATGCGACGAGTCTTGGTCGCTGAGCTATTGGCTTGGTCTCAATATTTGGCAGAAAACTCGGTCTAGCTCGCCACAAGTCCTTGGCTAAAGAATCTGTTTCTTAACAAATAAGTTAGTGGCGTCCTCTTTACTTCGGCGAATTGCTGGCAATCTTTCCTGTGCGACGCTGTATTACTGTGTTTATCGAGGTGAAGTTTTGAGGAGCATATCGTGCTTGGCACTATGCAATATTGTTTTCTGACTTTCCAATCACCAAAGCAGAGCTGAGAAGCCCAAATATAGTTGTATTGACTTTTGGTCAATCTGAAATCATAGAATATGCCAGAAGTCTGAGATGCAATCAACAATCGCCATCATGATAACGAGAAATCCGCAGAACAACCCATCGACAGATTCCCTCCCAATCACCCCTATTGTTCAATGAGTTGTTTCATTTTGCTGTTTCCTCTGATTTAACAAATTAGAACTCGAGTGCCCTCGAGATTTCATCTGATTTCACCTTGTGATGTTTGATTACTCTATGAAACGTTTCATACCAAGCTCGAAAATATGCCAAACCTCTGCATAGACCGCAATCCGTTTGTGCCTTTTACGACCTTGAGATTTCTAGTGTGCTACGTTGAAAGATATTGGCTGAGAAACATGAAGCAAACCGGAAGCAGTGTTGAGAGCACGAGAAATGGTCGATCACTATCCAACTGACAAGCTTGTTTGAGATGAAACTTTCAGATCAATCAACAATCTCAAGGATAGCTCATACGGTTTCTCAGCCATGAAAGCACTTAGGCAGAGGTCCCATGAAACCTACGGTTTGTCTCTTGCGCCTCTGCTTCCCCTCTGCTTCCTCCGTGTTTGATAGCTTTGTGCCTACAGGCTGCACTCCTTTGCCAGAATGAAACATAACCCTTCTGCCACGCAGGAAACAATCCGAAGAGTTGAAGCCTTGCGAGTAACCCCAAATACCTATATAAAGTCTCTCTCGCGAGGCAGATTTTCTCGTCTTTCGTCAACCTTACCAACTGCAAGTCAATCTCACCAGTTGTTCGCCAGCATTGCATCAGATGGCGCCTCCCAATAAAGACGAAGAGGCATATCCGATCGCCTATCAACCCCTCAACAAGGATAAACGAGAGATACGTCTTCTTGAGATCCTTCCCAGCACCCCTGAAGGCAAAGTCAACTGCAAACTCCACACCGTCCCCCTTACACCGGATCTTTACTACACCTGCATCTCCTACGTCTGGGGTAACCCAAATGACAAGGAAGTCATCATCGTCAATGGCGTCCCGACAAAGGTCGCCTGGAGTCTTATTAATGCACTTCGACACCTGAAGAAACACTGGACTGATATTGAACGAAAGTCAGATCCTGAGCTCGACCCCTCCAAGTTTCGCTTGTGGGCTGATGCGCTTTGTATCAACCAAGAGGATCTTACCGAAAAACGGGATCAAGTCGGCATGATGGCAGATATCTACTCTTCGGCAGCAATGGTTCTGGCCTGGATTCATCCAAGCGGCAAAGTTGTCAAAAAAGCGTTTAAGACTTTCGAAAAGATAGTTCAAATCGCTGAAGAAAACGTGGACAGTGAGAGCTGGGATAACGCATTACCGTCCAAGTTTACAGGCCCTACAGAAATAGAACTGTTCAGGATTTGCGAAAGCCTACCTCCCTGGAAACCTAGCCAGCTGTCATGGCTCTGTCCAAGCGGCTCTACTGGTATTGATTTACTCGACTTCGTAAAACTCCTTGTCGATCCTTATGGGGCCGTGTTCAAATTCTGTAGACTCGATTTTTGGAACAGAGTGTGGATTTATCAGGAGGTCATTCTTGCGAAGAGGCTGTACTTTGTGTCCCGAACTCGCTGCATAGAGCATTCGATATGTCTCGTGGCATTGTATGGACTAATGGCCTATATGCAACACTTGAAAAGAACGAACCTGGTGTCGTGGAAGGAGGACAATATCGATATGTTGCAGTCCGTGTTTTCCAAGATCTGGAATCTCTTAAAGACGCGCTTTGTGTTTCGAGGAATTCTCGATGGCGATCAAGACCCTGACTCTTGTTTGTGGCATCTGGGCTTGTACTTCTATCCAGATTCGGAGGCCTCCAATAAGTTGGATTATTTCTATGGTCTCTCGGGTGTGACGACATCGCCATTCGCCCCTGACTATACCAAGAGCATTCGAGAGGTAACCCTGGAGTTCATGGCGTGGGTTTTGCCCATCTGGAAATCTGCCAAAGAAAGGACAAGAAAGGACAGTCGCCAAATCCTTAGCTTCCTGAGCATTCATGCTACTGGCCTTAAGCGTGTTGACCGTCTACCGAGCTGGGTACCTGTTTTCTCAAAGGCTGACAGACGACGGCCAATTGTGAGGGTACTCAAAAAGTCATGCCCTGCATATGTTACAGTGCCTGAGCTATCCAACGGTCTGCCTATGGATATTGATGGCGATAGTTTATGGATCAAAGGAATCAAGGCACAGACTGTAAAGAGTGTTTATGGTGAGCTTGTTTCTGGGGATCTCTTGACAACAGGACTACAAAAATGTATCATGGAACTCACAAAGTCCCCACAAGATATCTACCCCACCGGCAAGAGCGCACTAGAGGTACTCTGCTGCACTCTGCTGCGAAAAGAAGAATACGATAACTATGCTTTCGATGTAGGTCTTTGCATAGGCTGTTGGATTCACCGGAGATATCCATGTGACGACAGATACTGGATGATGCAATGGTCACAAAAACCCTACGTTGGCGCGGTACTATCCGAGTGGCATGAAGCCGGTCGAATCCACAAAGGCAATAGGCTCTTTACAACCAAGGATGGCTATATCGGCACGATGCCAGATGATGTACTACCGGGAGATGTGGTCTGTGTTCTTGCAGGCTCTGAAGAGCTTGCAGTTCTCCGCCCTGAGGATGACCACTACCTTTTTGTTGGGTGTTGCTTTATGATAGGTCTGATGAATGGCGAGATCTCGAAGTTTCTGGCGTCAGGGAAGGCTAAGATTGAATCTATTGAAATCCGATGAGTCGCGGGTCCTTGAGAACTTCGTAGCAGTTTAGGCATATTGAATAACAAGCTCTTTCTTGCAGAGGCTATTGAATTGTGACAGACAGATTTCAGGTTATATACAACAAAAATATTTATAGTACAAGAAAAGACTAGCCAGCTAATCTGCGCTGCAGGCAGTTTAGTTGACAGAGAGGCTGTAGGCAGAGGTAGAGAAGACACAGTTGGAACCTGACACGTTAGCTTCAGAACATGAACACGCACGAAACATAACTTACCGACGAAAGGCTCAGTACCAGCCTGGAAGCTAGTAGCAATGTAGCTGCTAGGAACACCCTGGCTCTTGGTGAGGTACGTAAGGAAAGGAAGAAGATCGCCCTCAAAGTTGCCCTGGTTCTTGGTAGCAACGAAAGAGTAAACAGTAGTATCACCATTAGGTCCACGGAAGAGCTTCCACTGCGCACCGTTGATGGTCAGTGTCGCAAGGGGAGTAGAGCCAGAATCAGAGATAGGTCCAGCACCGCCGTAGGTTCCAACCCAGATCATGATCTCGTACTTGTTAGCAGCGCCAACAGAGGGAGCAAGCCACAGATCGTAGGAGACATCAGAAACCATGTTGGTTCCGCTGTAGCGCCATGTCCACTTTGTAGGAATGGACTTGATGGCCGAGACCTTCTTGTTGATGTTCTCAAGGGCAACGTTGGAGTAGCTCTTGACGTGGATGTTTCCACCGGCCCAGCTCCATTTGGTAGACCACGAGAAGGACTTGTTCTTGACGGAGTTGAAGGTAGTGCACTGGGAACCGGACGTAGCCTGGCCGCTGCCCCAGTTGTTGTGGTAAACGGTGTATCCCTCGGTTTGGAGGGACCCGAAAGCATCACACCAGGTGGTAGCTCGTTTATCAAGGGTCTTTGAAGGAGAAGTAGTAGGTGTAGCTGAAGCCACAGCCAAAAGGGCAGAGAAAGCAGTAAAGAACTTCATGGTGAAAAGGAATGTAAGTGGAACTGAAACTGTAGGGCTGAAAGAATGGACTAGAGATGTATTGAAGAGTAAACAAGGCCTTGGCGGCTTCTTTATAATGTTTCTTCGAAAAGTATCCGTGCTTCGGAGATTGGCTGTGTGTTTGACCTGAAACTCCTATTCGGACGATATGATCATATCTGGTAAGTTATAGCCCCATCAAGTGCCGACTACCGACTGACCTAGTCAAAAGTTCCACCAATCACGACTCAAGACTGAATTTCCCCAGCAATAGAAGTGAAGCCGCGTATTCTAGAATAACCGTCTCGTATACAGGGATAATAACGATTGGATCGTAGTCGTGTTGATTGAAATAGGTTTCGGAGGTTCGGAGCATAGAAGGTGAGAATTTCCTTTTTGATCTATATAGGGATGCTGCAGGCATTGCAAGTGGTAGCGTGATATGGTGTCTCGGGGTCATATCGAGATCTTGCAACCATTTGTCGCCTTGTTCTTCCAATCACTTTACTTCTCTATTTGTTGAAGCTAATGCTTATTTTATTTGTAGTGACACCAGTCTGTATTCAGTCGAGCCAGACGCTAGCTTGTCTCTATACTCTCAAGGCCCACGTTTTATGAAACGACGTGCTCAATATCAACCACCAACCTTGAAAGAAACGACCATTTCGTAAGATGAAAATTAAGGCAGGATATCTTTCGTGTCGTCCTGAGCTCCAGACCATTCTTGTATTGTGACAGCAGAGAGCTTCTTGATGAGCCTAGAATTGGATTGACCTACCGTTTGTCGTAGTATTCTATACCCCGACTAAATCCCTGTCCTCTGTCGACGATGAATTCATCCCGTCAGAGGCAATCGGAGTAGCGGAACTTGGATGATACTCTGCCAAGGATCCAAGGGAGGGTGGTTGGCGGGCAAGAATCAAAACTGTTTGTTTCAAGTCAAGGATATAAAGTTCAACTATAACCATTCGTCTCACTTTAGATTTAATAAACTCTTATCTGTAACACTAGTCTATTTCGTACGTCATTTATAACTACCTAGTCTACCAGAATCTTCCAATAATCCACTTCTTGTTACTTCTCAAGCTCAACAACAACCTTCGAGTTGCTAACACCTTTTCCAAGGATATCCAAAGCCTTATTGACCGCCTCGAACCCACCACCAACTCTTTCAATTTGCGTCGGCACAAGCTTGCCACTTGCAATGCCTTTAGCAAAGAACTCTTTAAAAGCCCATCTGATGAAGTGCTCATTACCCTCCTTGTACAGGACAAATGGCCACGAGGTATACTGGCGGACCACACATTGGGGCAGTGTCTCCGGACCAAAGGGGGGCAGGGTGGCGAAGACTGTACCACCGCCCTGGGCGGCTAGGACATCGGCAAGTATGCTGACAGTGTTGGGATAGGAGATGGTATCAACGACGACATCGTATGGTCCCTCAGCAATGAAAGCCTTAACAAGTGCGTCGCGATCCTGTTTGTGATCGATGATCTTATCGGCGCCGAGAGTTTCAACAAAGGCCTTGTTTTGGGGCGAGGTGGTGGTGACTACGCTGTAGCCTGCCCGGCGAACATACTGTATAGCCAAGCTACCCAGGTTAGAAGTCCCTCCGTAGATGAGGATCTTCTTGCCAGAGGCGGCTACTTCGCTCTCAATGTCTGGCTTGGGCACACCAGCTGTGGCGCTGATCATGCCGACGACAGTGGTCAGGTTTCCGTTCATGCTCACAGGGACAGCCAGATCAACGCCCTCTGGGACGCGAATGGTGGTGTCAACCTTGGCTAGTGCGTACGCCTGGTAGGCAGCATACTTGTCGCCATCGGTTGGGCTGGCGTAGACGGCGACTTTGTCTCCGACCTTGAAGTCAGAGACACCCTCGCCAACAGCGACGACTTTACCACCGAAAGACGTGCCGATTACACAGGGGTACTTGGACTTGAACAAGTCGTTCTTGGTGATGTTGACCTCGACTGGGTTGATGGCGATGAGTTCGTTCTTGACGAGGATATCACCAGGTCCTGGGGTAGGTGTGTCGAGTGGCCTGACCTCGAGGGGGGCTCGGGCAGCAGGGTTGACGGCTCCACGGTTCTGAGACATTGTGTTCTGATTCAGTTGAGATTTTGAAATACCTAAGGGTCGTGAGTGGGCAAAAGATATGCTCTTGGTGTATGATTTATTGATGGTAGGTAACTTGGTAAGTGATGATTGTTGATGTTTGATAGTGCTGTAAGGGGAAGTCTGAGAGAGGAAGTGTGAGAATGGCTCTTTATACCTGCAGTAAACACGATTCATCGACATTCCTGCTAAAGTAGATTGAATTAAAGGATTTCTAAGCAACGGACTTTCAAGAATGGTTTGTAAGGCCGTGACAATGGCATATGATATTCGTATATAAGCGTGAAATCAGAGTTTCTCGGCCTCTCTCGCACTTTTCCTTCTTCTCCGATGTGCGAGATTCTAACTTGAACTATACCGGCACTTGTAACTCTATCACAACAAACGCGCGGGCTCATGTCGGTACCGGTGCATTAACTAAGCCGCTGCGTGAAGGAGCTCGCGCTTGTGAAAGTCCGTATATGAAGAGACCGGATGGCTAGCTCGAAGTGGCTCTAGCGTTGGTTTCGTTTAGGGACTGTTGGCGAATAGAAATGGAACTAGATGTCACGTACAGGCCCACATGCTGAAACTTAAACTACACACGCGTCTATGACCAAGTAATATCCCCCATGGATTGATTAGTATAAATGCAAGTGATTTTAGTGAATAAAAAGTGGCTTCTCTTTAGTTCAAGTTCTTTATGCTATTGCATTTATTAATATTCATTTTATAAAGGTGACCTACAGATCTCAACCATGACAAAAGGCGTATCCTTTAGCCCAGACAAAGATATTCCTGACCTCTCTGGAAAGGTGATATTAGTCACAGGAGGGAATACCGGGTTAGGATTCGAAGTTATCTACCAGCTATCAAAGCACAAGCCCAAACACATCTATCTCGCAGCCAGATCAGAAGAAAAAGCGAACGAAGCTATCAAGACACTCCGCAAGAAGAATCCCAATGCAGGACCTATTACCTTTCTTCAGCTCGACCTAGGCTCATTTGCGAGTATAAAGGCAGCTGCAGCTACATTTAGGTCTATGTCTGACAGACTGGACATCTTGATCAACAATGCTGGGATCATGTCTGTACCAGAAGGTCTGACGGAGGATGGATATGAAATCCAGTTCGGGACAAATCATCTCGGTCCCGCGCTGTTCACAATGCTACTCCTACCAACTCTCAAAGCAACCGCCGCCATATCTACCGACGTGCGAGTTATCTTTCTCAGCTCCGAACTTGAGAACATGGCACCCAAGAACTCCTATCTCTTCAATGACCTAAAGACCACATTGCCCAAGTTCTCAACGTGGACTCGTTACGGCCAGTCGAAGCTCGCAACCGTACACTACGCCCAGGCACTGGCAAACCACAACCCGGGCCTCAAGATCATGAGTATCCATCCGGGAGTCATTGCAACGAATCTCAGTGGTCCGGTGGTTAAAGACTATAACTTTTTGATGGCCGCGTTGTTCAAGGTTGCCATGAAATTCGTTACTGTGAGTATCGAGGAGGGGACGCTGAACCATCTGTGGACAGCAACTAGTCCTGATGTAAAGTCTGGTACTTTTTACTTTCCTGTCGGTGTACAGGGGAAGGGTTCGTCGCTGAGTAAGGATAGCAAGCTTCGTGATCAACTTTGGGACTGGACGGAGAAAGAGCTTGAACCCCATGTTACTATGGGATATTGAGTGACCTGATTGTGGTAGCTTTACAGTTGAACCAGATGATTGAGGAGGGATATAAGATGGACTTATTGATATACTGAGTACCTAATGAGAGATATTGGAGAGATAGGATTTACTGACAAACTCAAGTGTTCTAATATATGGGCCCCGGTGGGAGCGAATTATCAGATTAGCGGCTGAGCATGGGCTTTCTCTACTCTGTTATAATCTTATTGTATATGGCTATGGAATTGTTAAACATGTGAGGCAACCAAGATGAGTGTTAAATCACATTGCCTACATAGAAAAACTCTAGAAGCACATATACACCCTATGATATGTTGCGAGTTTCCAGGAAGTGGGAGAGGGTATCTCAAGACTTTACCGGGGGGATCTTAGCCATCTGTAGTTGATAAGCATCCTTGTATAGAGTTATGCACGGTACTGCTTTCATCGCTGGGTAATATCAACGTGCCCTCCCAGCAGCAGCAAACAGAGAATCCATCAAACTACTCTTTGCCTTCCCCAACTCAAGAACATCGCCAATCTCAGCATCTACATTCTTCAAAAACCGCTCCCTATCCCTCTGAGGTTGCCAAACAATACTTCGTGGATGCGTCGCCGTGAAATGACCCCTGCATCGTCAGACCCTCCCTCAACAAAGAAAGGAATAACTTACTCAGATTTGTAAAGAACCTCCAGAAATTCAACCGGCACATCGATTGAGTCTGCAGCAAACTCATTGCTAGGATACACCTCAGGCTTATCGCCTGACACAAGTTCTCGAGCCTTCATGGCTGCGGCAAGATGGTCTTAGAATTCCCACATATCCATTTCGTGAGCAACCGCAAAGTAGTACCCTTCTTTTCCACTTGGTGTTTCTTCGTGGTTCAGAACAGCATGTATGATTCGGCAGTACAAGGCGGTCGGGTCGCTGATATGAACAGCTTGCAACGACATTGACTTGTCAGCCTTCGAAATTAAAACTTATTAGAGGACTTACAATATTCTCATCGAATTTGTACACTTTTCCGAGTTTGAGGCTCGCTCGTGTCAGGCCTGGTCTCATGACGGAGAGTTGATTCCACGCGCCAGTTCCTCTTCCATCTTGTTCACCAGTCAACATGAATCAATGCAAAGGCATGATTTCGCTTACAGACGATAGAAGGTACAACAACAAATGGCGTGACGCCTTGGGCTTGTGCATGTTCTATAACCATTACATCCGTCTTGAAATGTCAGCATCTTATACATAGGTTGTACAGGCTGACTCACCTTTCGGACTGGATACGAGTCTGCAAACTCCTTCTCCGTCTCAAACACCGCATCTGTGTCTTTATTGACCCTGCATGACCATCCAGAGTTTGCGTAGAATGCACTCAACCCCGAGGTCTGCTTCCGTCAGAAGTCATACTTCAATCAGTTAAAGAACCTACATGGATGAAGTATGTTGGCTTCCCAGCTACCTCTTTTTGTTTTGCCAGAGCATTTATCAAAGGTAACGCTAGCCCGGGACTGATGCTGTTAGCCGCATGCACCATGACACTAACTGGAGACCGTCAGTAGATGTTTTTCATTCAGTAACGGGTTGTTACTTTTGTGAGACGATATTTCGTTAATAACAGCCTGTTCATCTGATAAATCGAGTTTGAGGACATTGATGCCTGGGGTTGAAAGAGCTTTGGCCTGCTCATCAGTTCTTACGGCGGCAACGATTTGGTCTTTAGTAATCTCAGGATGCTTGGATAAAAGATCTGCGACGATGGAACCTCCTCTGTTGGCCTTGTTAGATATTTGCGAGAGAAGATTGGGGAGACGAACATGTAACCCGCCGCGCCGGTGACGAGAATATTTCGAGACATGGTACTATCGATAGGGCTGAAATACTGTTGTTGAAAGGGTTTGAATATTTTCGACTCATTCATCTGTTACAGACTTGACATTGCCATCTCACGGTGAGATACAGTCATTGGATAGCTTATGTATTGAAGTACTCCAGTGTCCTGAGTATGCCGATCATCCTAGCTGAAACTCTATCGTCGAGGCTTTGGTCTCCCGGACATTACTTTAATCGATCAAACTATCCGAATAGTGCTATTTTTTGTATTGGCAAGCCACAGATCTGTCATGGCCAATGAACATGGTAACCCGTCACCGGATTAGATGCCGTTCACCCAGTCAAATACAGAATAAGCCGTTCTCTGATATATTTACATTTTTGTTTAGTAATCAGTAGATTATAATAAGTTGTTTGGTAGATTGTTGGCATTGTCTGAAGGAATATCTCCCACCAAAGCTTACAACACCAAGTTTGTAGATGGCTGGGGGAGGTAAGGCATTCAGACTCGATAGCGAAATTAATCTCAAATCTTTACAAGCTTTATACTTACGCTGATTGTTTGTGGTTCGGGATAGAGGTGAGGCCATACGGAGTAGGAGGTCGTTGTTCCCGATGGATTGTTCGAATACTCTCATGTCAGCACAAACGATCCTCCTCTAGCATTCCTAAAAATAACTCCGTTCCCATCCCATGTCTCATATCCTGCATGTGACATGCACGAAAGTCACATCGGTCACATTGAGGCCCCCTATCATAACTGCAGAGCATGAACAAGGCTGGCGGCTGAGGACCCCCAGCAGACGAAAGAAAACTCAGGAACTTGGTCCTAAACACACACACACATTTAAAAAAAAAAAAAAAAAAAAAAAAAAAAAAAAAAAAGGAATTAGGTAAATTAGCATAAGTTTAGCATAAGTTTAGGATATTTTTGCAGAATTTAGGATACCATTTGCTAAGTTTATTTTAACGCGCTGTACTAAGGCTCGATGTTTTCTCGCTCCAGGAGGGGTCTGTATGTTTTTGACCGGGAGTAATGACCTCATTCGGCTTACTGTCGATGCAGTGAAACGAAGAGGATTTGAGGCTGAAGCCGAAGGACTGGGGTCTGCACCATGGAACAGGCATAAAGTGGCGGGTTTCCCTGCTCCGGACAGCCTTATCGTTATTCCCATATGCGTCTCTCAACTGTCAACAAGCTGTTATCCTCAGCTCGATCAACATGGCCAGTGCACTAGTGAAGCCCGGCATTTTGAACCTCACGCTATTCATCACTGCCATGCTCTCCTTCATCCCGCCAACAACAGCCCTCCAACGCTCAAACAAGCAATTCCGCGAATTCTTCCCAGCATGGGAGCCCTTACTCAAAGACCAACTCAAATACAACTGCTCCTCCGAAATACAAGACTATCTCAACATATCCAGCCCCTCCCTTCGTCCAGGCTACCGAGTCATCGACTGCATCCTCACCACCATGCCCGAGTTCAGAAAAGCCGAGCTAGCTTCTGCTGCTGTCATTCTCGGCCTCGCACCATCTGTGCTTCAGTTGCTCAGTGCTTCGTACCTCGACACGGCGATACTAGCGTATCGAAGACCCGGACTGGCGGTGTTGCTGGCCATGTGTAGCTCTGGGGTGAAGCCGCTTACGGCGTCGGAATATGATGACTTTATCGCCAAGATGGGTGCCGAGTCTTCCACTACCTTTGGCGTACCACGCTTTGTTGGAGCGCAGGCAATTGTGTCTTGGGCCGAGTACATCATCGCCGCTGCATCAGTCGCGAACAATGCTTACCTCACATACCAGCTCTGTCTCCAAGCAGTCTGCACATTCGCCCCAGCCGAAGACTTTCTCCCCGCCATTTGGACCGCTTCAGCTCTAGCAATCCATCTGTTCGGGTACATCACCGCACGATTAAAAATCACCGTCGACACGAAAAGCGCATGGGAAGATCGAGGGAAGCTGTGGTCTGAAGTAACTCCGACGGCATGGCAGCCAAAGCTTCACGTCAAAGCTAACGGACGACACGCGGGCTGGTTCCTCACTCTCGCTTCGGCGCTGTACGTAGGCGATTGTCTTCAAGCACTCTTTGGGACGCTTATCCTGTCCAGTCTGGTGTTTATTAGCGTGAGGGACTCTGCGATCATTGTGATAAGGCTGATGGGGAGTGCTCTTTTCGCAAGGCTGATACTGATCTATGAATTGGCGGGCCTCAAGACGGATGGAGAGGGATATCCTGCGTCTGGGAGCACCATCTACTTGGAGTCTCTTGAGCAGAATGAGAGAAGCTTGAGGGGATCCAGAGTCTTCTCATAATTATGTACACCCAAACATGACCCCCCAAAGACCAATTGTTCGTTGTTAACACTATTGTATGGTGACCACCAATGTTAAAAGAAGACTTTGATCATGTTATGAATTGACTCTCGTGATGACATTGCTGAAAGACTCGCTATTGTGATCGATTCGCTGAACTCTCCTTCCGTTTAACACGCCATGGACATGATCTGCCAACCCTCAAAAGAAGACACGATAAAAACGTAACTCAAATACATGCTCCTAGCGATGACCGGTACAAGAAAATCCAAATGAATACAAACCACACCATGCCCGGCTGTCCCCTCTGCCCAAAACACAACCAGCTTCCACCATTCGACTGGCCTGGTTGACCTAAAATACCCTGGTGGTATGAGTATTGTTGGACTGCGGAACCACATTCGGATAAGTGTCGTCATTCTGATCACCAAGGTATCAATTGAATTGACTCATTGCTGCTATCATGTCTCTTTCTCCCTCAGACATATGTTGCTTAACCTTTTGGTAGCGTGATACCCTGCGACCCCGGGTCTCCTTCTTGTACCGAGCAACAATGGGTGACGGAGCATCATCTGAAGAACTGCTGTTATCCTGCTCTTCATCCCTTGGGTCTTTGCATGAAGGGGATAGACCCGTCACGGTTCTTGATTCACTGCCTTGCTGAGGGTTGGCTTGCTGAGGGGCATCACTTGAATGGTTGTCGCCGTCCGGGTTGTCTTCCAATCGAGGGAATGAAATTATATTGATGCCTTGCTGAGGGTCGCCTTGCTGAACATCTGGCGGAACACCTGGCTGCATAACATCATTGTTTGGCAACTCGATCTCTTGCGAAGGCTCGCCGCCGTCTTGATTCTCTGGCGGCCCGCCGTTGAGGACTCGCTCCTCGCTTGGCCTGTTGCTCGCGGTTGACCCGGCACGGCGTCTTCGGATGCAGAAGTAGCAGCAAATTGGGTAGAAGAACATGATTGTGATGTTATTGATGTGATGATAGAGAATGTGTTGTTTCTGATGGGATGCGTAAGCTTGTTGATGTGATTGATGATGGGCCAAGAAGAGAATGATGTTTGGTTGATGTTTTCGTGGATGAGGAGATGAATTCTGTCTCTAATGTACTTGGGTCACAGAAGGCGCTGCTCGCTCTTGCCTCGAGATCGAGGTGGCGGCAAATGGGTATCAAAAAGGAAAGTTGGACTCGACGAAGGGGAACGAAAGGGAAGGTGTATTGGCTTCTGTCTATCATCCAGGAAGGGCACACTCGCAGCTACCTTGCCCAGGTCTTCGGTTCATCCTGCTCGAACTTCTAGTTTTGGGGTTCTTCCCTAACTCCACAGTCAGTATCAAGTGTAGCAGTTGAAGGTTTGAGGGCGCTTACTCTTCGTGTCGGATCGTGGACCTGCGTGCGTTTGCGTGCGCACTCCGCGTTCGTGGCCTGTAGAATGTGAGTAACTGTTCCGTATCTCGCTCAAAGCTTCGCTTACCTTGCTATTACATGATTAATCCTGCCAAGTCAGGATAGAGAGCGGTCGGATCGCTCGCGGGTTGGGTGGTGGTAGTGGGCTCTGAGGTCGTCTCGTGGTTCTCTGGATCAGCGCCCTTGTTGGCATTGTTTTTGTCTTCGACAACAGTCTCGTCATCTCCAATGACCGTCTGTTCGTCATCGAGGGCCCGGCCTTGGTCGATTTCGTTGTCTGTTGTGGCGGCAGCTTCCTCCTCCCGCGCCTTCAGGACAGACCACGGGATTTCGGTGGATGTCATGTTGACGCCCGACCCGTTGGGGGTGACAGCAAAGATCACACTGATCTTGCCACGAGGCAAAATCTTGTAAGCGTCCACCAAGCTCCCAGGGTTGTCGACAATTGCAGAGTACGTGCCCTCGAGGCCAGGGACTTTGGCGACGACGTTCTCCTGACGTCCCCCTCCAGGAGAGTTGTTCACCAGTCTTAAGCCACAAGACTTCTCGCTGTTTACTCCCTGGAGGGTCATACTCTCCACGAAAGTGAGTCCCTTCGGTTCCGGAACTAGTCGGGCGGGTTGGTTGCCAGCTTGGCTGGAACGCTTCAAGGCCGCGAAACCTGTGATCTTGGGGTGAGTCATCGTGAATGGTGAGGAGAGAAATGAAAGGGTTGGCTTGTTAAGAAGGGATGATCAAGTTCTTTGCTCTTTACTCGTGGTTTTAAAGTGTTGAGTGTGTACAAAGGAGGAAAAGGGAGGTTGTGCGGTGAAGTAGTTGAAGTAGGGGACTACGCCCTATTGTTCAGGAGCTCGGTGAATCTCCCACCAAAACCCCGTTCTAGAGCTCGCAACTGGCACGCAGCCGCCCAGCAAATCTCTTCAGCAACAATAGAAAGCGTGAAATACGATTCATTCCGTCTGACCAACATGTGTGGACGAGAACAATGAATTCAGAATATCACCAGTTCTTTGCTATCACTCCAGCTTCTTGGGCTGTTCTCGTGAACAGTTACCAAGTTCAGAAGCCCAAGCACCCTTGGAATAGGACAAGCCAACGCAGATACTACTGATGCCTCGCGGATCTTGTTGCCCGGCCTCTCGAAGTGAAATCGCTACAGTTCATCTCGAATCACAAAACTACATGCTTCTCCTCATCTTCGGAGACGCCTATCTAATGTTTACATCCAGTTCTTGCTTTACTACCTACGGCGTCTTGGACTTGGGAGAGTAATGTTGACAATAAATCGCACGTCCCACCGCAATCAAACTTGAGGATGATAAAAGAGCACACACGCTATGTTACGCTAGTTATGTTACCCTAGTCTCTATTCTACAGCTTTGTAATGATCAAAGAATACCTCGTTCTACCCCCTGAGCCAGGTGGTTCAAAATCTAGTTTGCCAAAACTCATCGCTATTCTTCTCATCCCCACGCCCCTTCATCTTACGAACCTTTTCCATTTCTCCTTGGAATTCGTTCCATACTCCACTGGGAATCCAAGTCCAGTTACAGACAGTGGTCCCCCCGTTTCCCAAACGCTTCAGATGCGTATACACACCATATACCGTCTTTTCTTGAGTGAAGAGGTAGTCCCAATCGATCACTGCAAGATTTAGGTTGGGGTTGAAAATTTTCTTGGTCATAAAGTCGTTTAGCAAGGGCAACTCTCCCTCTTTCAATTTCCTTCTGGGCTTGGATGTAAAAGCCACTTGATGTGAATATACGCGCAGCAGGTCTCGGGATATCTGCATATAGTTTTCGTAATTCACAGATTCCCGAAAGGTGGCCAATTCCATTACTTCCATTCCGTTCGCGCGTAAGATTCTGTCGAGGGCCTGACTGAAATGCGACAAAAATGCGGATGCAAGTGTGACAACCCGAATGCTACCATCAGCTAAAGGGGTCATGGCACGATCCTCGCCGTCATCGGCATCAATCATACTCGCTAGGCCTGCGGTTGCCCATAGAGTGCTGAGATGTACCCAGGAGCCGGGGTCGCATACCAGAGAACATCCTTTTAAGCATTCTTGTATGGCTGTCTTAGTTCCCGAGTCAAGCCTCTGAACATGGAGCAGTTCCAGAGATTCATTTCCCGACATTAACAGCGCGGCAAAGCGAACTCTCATCATGGCGATCAAGGGGCTTGATTCCAGAGTGAGGAAATAGGCGATACGCGAGTCGTAATCGATTTGTGGCAAAAGAGAATAGAATGCGCGGCCGTTATTTAATTTTGGTGGTAATTTTGGTCTATCTTGCGGACTCAGCGTAAGTCCTTGGAAGATAAAGCGATCACCAACGTGAGCGAAAACATCATCTTTCCTTCGAACAATTTTCAATAAGTCCCAAATGGTAGCAGGCCATTGCGTGTAATCTAGGAGGGCAGCCATGAACCCTTCGGCGTGTTCATTTCGGATTTTCATTCGACGTTCTGTTGCGCGATGCTTGGTGAAGTGATCAAGGCACAGAACATCGGGAGAATGATAACTCTGAGACCGATAAAGCCATGACAACTGCTGAAGTTTTTCCGACTCTGAGATCCACAGAAATGTATGCAACAGCTGATGAGAGCGGCGATCGAAGATGACTCGCCTGACCGTAGGACTCGCAAAAATGCTGACAGAGTAGGAGGGGGGCAAGAGTTCTGCTATTCTCGCGTTTGCATTCAGGTGAATCATTTGTAGCTTGAGTCCGGGCTCTTTCACACCTGGTGGAAAGGAAGTATAGTGCCCATTTGTGGTGCTCATTGTGATCCAAGGATCCCATTGCGATGGCAAGGTGTTCCCTTCATCCTGGTCCTCAGCATCATACATTGCGTCCCGAAAACGCAGGCATATAGTCCCAGAGTCATTGGACACTGTACCATACTTAAGCAGATCTGAGGGCATTTCCTTGAGGATCACGGGCTGTGCTGGCTCTCGTTCATATTTTGCAAGCAAGAATTCGGAAACACCCGTGAAGAGGCTAGAGTATTGATGGAATAGCTGTTTCGTGACTGGGTGGATGCCTTCCCACGATACAGTTGCAATCTTTATATGCAATGCACGTTGGATACTTGTTTTTCGTAGGGCGAATGACGTGATGGTAGCCAATGTTAGGGCATATTCCGCCGAATAGTCAGGGTCAGCCTCGATGAGAAAGATTATTCGGTCTGCCTCTGCGTCGGGCATTGTCTCCTATTTTCTTTCCCGGTAGCCAATAACGAGACTTCCTACAGATTCGCGGTATGTCTCAACCTTCAGCTTAGGTTGACGTTGGCCTGGCTTGAGTTCATGGTTCGGTGACCAAGACCCTCGACCTTCGACCACTACATTCCTCTTGAAGTCGGGAAGAATCTGAACAATAATGGTGCGGCGGTGGTCCAAAATTCGAGGCGATTCGATGATTTTCCGTGGTAGTCTGATCGCCTTGCGTGAAGCTGGAGGCCCTTGGATATGAGCAAAGGTCAGGCGTTCGTTTTGGTTGTCATCAATGGCCCATGTGACAATGTCGTCAAGCCGCCAAGGGTTGTTCATGGTTGCGATAATTGGGTAGAAAATAGATGTGTTGTGATAAAAAGTAATGGGGGTCTATTGATGCCGCTTAGTGCAAGATGGATGGACGGTTTAAAGAATGAGTGTAAGATGGATGGACGGGTTAAAGAATGATGGTGTTTGTTGGAAGTCTTCTGTATCATGTCAGTGTTGGAAAGTTACCTCTAATACCTTGCCCTGGTGAGGAAGGAAGATGAAAATTGTTTTGGGTACTGCCTCGAGGAAAGAACTTGCGGCAGGATGACGATTGTACTGCCCCAGGTCAAGTAATACTTGGGTACAAGGAACCATACGCAATTGAACAAAAACTCCTAATAGGTAATTTTGTCCATCTGAACTCACTTTGATCACTTTGCTTGGTGTTTCTGGGCCCGGCAATGACCTCAAATCTCAACCCCAATCAACCACAGCGGTGCCGCCACCGAGCACAGTTGTGCAATTGGCAACTGAGCTGTGGATTTCCTTTGAAACACATCTCGCTACTTTTTTCCAGGGCCTTTCTACTACAAGTAAAGCTTCCGCGGAAGAGTGACGTTGAAGCGATTAGTAGATTGGATGCACTGCCACCACCAATTATGGAACCAACTTGTTGGCGAGGCCGCGCGGCCATCTTAGCCCTCGGCAGCATTTAAACTTCGAACCATCCCGCGAAACCGTTGCGAGTGAGATTTCGAAGGCCTTTGGTTCGTTGATCTTTTGAACTTTGTGTACCTTGGTTCAAATCCATGGCTGTCACAATAATGACGACCAGTCAGGCGAGTGCCTGTACTGATTTGTTGTTGGCCTCGACTTACACGAACAAGCCTCTCCCTTCAGCCCAACTGAACAATGGCACAACTGCACAACTACACAAGGCTCTCCCTCATCTCCAACACTTCACAACGAAATAAGGCCAAGAGCCTTTCAACCTTGCCCGGATGACAACCCGAAGCCACACCTTGAGACGATTAAGCTTATCTGAACCAAGCGAGTCCCCTAGCG